AAAATTCCTAGTTCATAGTTGTTATTGTTGCTAGTAGCTGACTAGTCAGCTCCAACTCATAATGATTTGTATAAAAATAATACAAAATGCTGCCTGACCTTATGCCCTCTTCAAAATCATTGGTATGTTTAAATCCACTGTAGTAACTTCTATGTCAATTCATCTAATTGAAGATTCACAGTTGCCTCTATGCAACTATGAGTTAAAGTCTCCACAATATACAAATAGCGAATGGGCAAATACTCAGCACATATGATGGAGGATGAAGTTTTACAAATTCATGGGGATAGTTATCCATTAGTGTCCATTTTAGGATATGTGGAAATGGAATAATGAGACCAGTATACAAAGAACTAAATTAATAAAGCCCATGAAGTTTTCCTTGACCTACATCACCTCCATCTCAACACAGAGCCTCACCAGTGGGAGAGAGAGATACTCCAGATCATCAATTAGAACCCAAAGTGCTTTTTCTATAGAAATCAGCCTGTAAGTTGTAATTTTGTAAAATTTTAAATTGTCATTTTGATACTATAAGTTTTACACATAATACTTAATGCTGGTTATACTATTTTTTAAGATTGATCTGATAATTTTTTCTTGCTTTCTTCCATTGACTCATAAGAATATAATGCAAACTCTACAACTTACAAATGAATACTTGAAATTGTCCATTTAGAATGTTCAGTATTATAAACAATCAATATCAAAATAAGGAGTCAAAGAAAGGAAAGACTTCAGTAAAGAAATAAAATACTTTTTGTGATTTGTTATAAATTGATTTTGACTCATTTTCCCACAATCTATTCTTTGTTTTTGTTTGTTTGTTTGTTTTTGCAGTAAGTAATGCTACTTATAATCTGAGGGTAGTATCACCTTTCTTCCTCAGCTTCTCAGATTATTTGCTCAGCACACAGGTTAAAAAGGTATGGTGAAAGGATACAACCCTCATGCACTCCCTTCCTGATTTTAAACCATGCAGTATCCCCTTGTTCTGTTTGAACAACAGCCCCCAGGTCTGTGTACAGGTTCCTTATGAGCATGATTAGGTGCTCTGGAATTCCCATTCTTCTCAATTTCATCCATAATTTGTTTATGATCCACATAATTTAATGATTTTGCACAGTCAGTAAGACACAAGTAAACATCTTTCTGGTATTTTTTGCTTCCAGCCAAGAACCATCTTACATCGACAATGATATCCCTCATTTCACATCCTCTTCTGAATCCAGCTGGCATTTCTGGAGTTCTCTGTCAAGATACTGTTGTAACTGTTTTTGAATTATCTTCAGCAAAATTTTACTTGTATATTATATTAATAATATTGTTTGATAATTTCACAGTCTTTAAGATCACCTTTGGAATGGGTACAAATGTGGATATCTTCCAGTCATTTGACCAGGTAGCTGTCTTCCAAATTTCTTAGCATTGTTGTTGTTGTTGTTGTTATGTGCCGTCGAGTCAAACCCGACTCATAGACAAGTGAATGTCTCCAGAGTGGCATCCGTTTGTTGAAACATCTCAATGGGTATTTCATCAATTCCTGGAGCCTTGTGCTTTTCCAATTTCTTCAGTGCAGCTTTGAATTCTTCCTTCAATACCATTGGTTCTTGATAATATGCCACCTCCTGAAATGGAATAACATTGACCAATTCTTTTCGGTACAGTGATTCTGTGTATTCCTTCCATCTTCTTTTGCTATTTCCTGCATCATTCAGTATTTTTCCCATAAATCTTCCAATATTGCAACTCGAGGTTTGAATTTTTTCTTTTGTTCTTTCAGCTTGAGAAAGGCTGAGCACATTCTTCTCTTTTGATTTTCTAACTCCAGGAATTTGCACATTTGAAATCTTCTGTTCAACTCTTTTATCTTGTCATTTCTTCCATTTGCTTTAGCTACTCTCCATTCAAAGGCAAGTTTCAGAGAGTCTTCTGACATATATTTTGGTCTTTTTTTCTTTGCCTGTCTTTATAATAACATTCTGCTTTATTCATGGATAATGTTCTTGATGTCAACCCACAATTCCTCTGGCTTTCAGTCATTGGTGTTCAATACATCAAATTTATTCTTTAGGTGGTCTCTAAATTCAAGAGGAATATAATCAAGGTCATATTTTGGCTCTTGTGAACTTGTTTTAATTGTCTTTAGCTTCAACTTGAATTTGCATACTTATTCAATCTGTATAGTGAGCAAATAATCTGAGAAGCTGGACAATATGAAGGAGAATTTGGCATCAGGATTGAAGGAAGCCTCAATAACAACCTGTGATATGCAAATGACACAACTTTGCTTGATGAAAGTGAAGATGACTAGAAGCAGTTACTGATGAAGATTAAAGACACAGTCTACAGTATGGGTTACATTTTAACATAAAGAAAACAAAAATCCTCACAACTCAACCAATAAGCATCATCATAATAAATGGAGAAAAGATTGAAGTAGTCAAAGATTTCACATTAATTGGTTTGAGAATCAACACCAATCAAAGCAGCAGTCAAGAAATCAGACAACACATTGCACTGGGTAATCTTCTGCAAAAGATCTCTTTAAAGTGCTGAAGAGCAAAGATGTCTGTTTGAAGATTAAGATAAGCCTAATGCAAGGAGCTCTGGTAGCATAGTGGCTAAGGCACTTGACTGCTAACCAGAAGGCTGGCGGTTCAAACCCACCAGCCACTCCTCGGAAGGAAGGTTGGGCAATCCTACTTCCGTAGTGATACTGCCACGGAAACCCAAGGAGGGGTCGCTATGAGTCAGGGCTGACTCGACGGCACATAACAACAACAACAACAATGCAAGCCATGGTATTTTCAATCATGTCATATGCATGTGAAAGCGGCAAAATTATTAAGAAAGACCAAAGAAGAGTTGACGTTTTTGAGTTGTGGTGTTGGCAAAGAATACTGAAAATACCATGGACTTCCAGAAGAAATCTGTCCAGGAAGAAGTGCAGCTGGAATGCTCCTTGGAAGTGATCATGGCCAGACTTCATCTCACCTACTTTGATTATAGTGTCAGAAGGGACCATTCTCTGGAGAAGGATATCATGCTTGGTAAAGTGGAGTGTCAACAAAAATGGGAAAGAACTTCAATGTGATGGATTGACACAGTGGCTGCTATACTCAGGTATAGCAAGGATTGTGAGGCTGGCACAGGACCAGGCATTGTTTTGTTCTGTTGTCCATAGGGTCACTATGAGTAAGAACCAACTTGATGCCACCTAACAACAAAACAATTATAATGCCTTTCTATATACCATGCTATTAGAGACACACACACATGGAATGTCTACTATCTAGTCTCCTCTTTGCGTCTGGAAGAACCTTCCTCCTTCTACTTTGTGCTTTTGGAGCTAATCCTGCCTTATGTGAATTTGTCCTATAGAGTAGACCTCACCATACAGATTATCTACCTTGATCTGTATTCTTCCCACCTTAGTTCATTACTGACATCCCTAGTGGCCCATGTCATGTTAGAAATCTGAAAGCAGAGGAGGAAAAATTGTATAACTGCCAATTTAAATTTTCTCCTCAAGCTAAAGCCAATTAATGGCTCCAAAATTTTCTTTTTAAAGACTAGACATAACAATGCATATTAGAGTCAATGACAGAGCTGTAAAAAAATCACCAAAATAGATTGCTTCCTCCAATGAATACATAATAAATGTTTTCATACATTACTGTTTCTATACAAATATTATGTATAGCAATAAAATGTAAGAATATAACAATATAAAATAGCACCCACCATCCTTGGAGAGTCCACTGAGTCTCTGAAAATCTGGTCATGCAAAAGTCAGCCTGTCCAATTGAACAAAGTATTTCTCCCCATCCCATTTTAAGAGACCAAAAGTGTTTCCTTCAGACCTGGAGACTCTGTGCTTTTCCCAAATTATTTTCTCAGTCCTTGAGTCATATAGGAACATCTAGGCCACTTAGCCACTCCTCAGAAGGAAGGTTGGGCAATCCTACTTCCGTAGTGATACTGCCTCGGAAACCCAAGGAGGGGTCTCTATGAGTTGGGGCCGACTCGACGGCACATAACAACAACAACAACAACAGGCCACTTAGAACTTCTGGCAATCAGACTTCATGCAAACACCAGGGAGTTAGAAAAGAGCAGTAAAGTCAGAGATAAGAATAGTAGGAATAAAAAGGATTGATATATAAGGTAGAGAGGGTTGCAAACCAAAGTTCACTTCCACAGGCATCACAGGAAGCAATGTGAAGCTGAAGAGTTGGTTAAATCAGAGGCCACAGGCAGGTATGCCCAATGGGGTTGCAGAGTATGGCCATTGACAAATGAATAAGTCAGCAGATGGGATTCAGTCTGACTTAGAGAGGTGTTGGGGATGACATCCACAATAGCAACTTGCTAATGAGAATGCCCTGTTAAAGAGGAGTGTTCTTAAGGAGAGGCACTCCTCTCATAGGGAGAAATACTCCAGAACCAATACAGTTACTATGAAAAGTAACAAAACTAAATTTGTGTCAGGGTTCACAAGCATCACCTCCAATAATACTCCAGATATGCTCTCATCTGAGAGTATGGTCAGCCACTATGGCCAAATCTACCCCAAAGTGTCTGAACCCAAGAGGCAGAGGAATGTCTGCCTCTCCTATTGCAGCATGTTGGCATGATGTATTTTCATTCATGCATTCACTCACCCAATTATCAATTCAGCAATTCACCCACACAGAGTCACTAAGATGCTAGGGACGCAGACACAACTATCTTAGTCAGTCTGTCATCACTAATGGAGCAGCAGAGACTGACTGTCTCTTTGTCACTTACTAAGTCTGGACCTGACTCTATTATTATGGCAAAATTGCTTTTCTTAATTAGAGTCATTTTTTTTTTTTTCTTTTCTGAAGTTTAAGGTCAGTAAATACTAGCACATTCCATTTAATGCCACTTGGGAATGCAACAAAATAAACGTGAATCAACATTCTTTCCTTAAGAGTACCTCTGGCAAAGTGATGATGCTAATGTTAACTAACCTTTGCTTTGGAGATGATGATCAAAAGCCGAGGCATGGTGGTCATCAGCATGGTGCAAAGACCACAGATGAAATTTAAAGAGATGAAGGAGATGAAAGCTACATCTGAACTTGAGAAGATTCTGGACATCAGATACATCCATGGAAGGGTTGCATATCTGGAAAGTAAAGAGAAAAATTATGTTCAGTTTACTGTCACATATATTTGTATGAAGACTGATCATAGATGAAATTTTATTGGTCAGGTAGTTCTTCTTAAAAGTAAACAGAAACACTCTTTTCTTAATACACCCTATGGTATTTTCTAAAGACAGGGTCAAAACACACATCTCGGATATGGGGCTGGACTTGCCAGCTCTGTGGCCTGGGGCAAGACAGTTAATTGCTCCCATCATCACCTCCTTTCAATGACTGATCCTGGTCCTTTGTTTTGACTCTCTTCAATAAAACAGGGATAAATTATAGAGGAAGTTAAATTATATCAACCTTATGGAGAACTGAAGAGCTACTTTTTACTATATAAGGCATTAAAATAAGAAATGAAAACTTCTTTTTAGAGTCCCCTATGTACTGGACATTATATGTTTGCACACTATTTTCTCATACACCTCAGATTCTCCAGCAATCTTGGAAGATGGGTGCTATAATCACTATTTCACAGAGAGGGAAATAGGAATTAAGAAAGTTAAAATACCATAATCAAGTTTCCATATCACTACATCATATGTAGTGATGCTGAAAATGGGGTTCATATCAGTGTGCTTCCAAAACCAGGTAGTAAGTGTTATCACTAAATATTGGACTGTAGAAAGAGTGCTCAGAATGAGATTAAGTCAATATACAAGAAACCTGTCTAATATTTGGTTGAAAAGTGATCCCTGGGAATGGATTCAATTTTGAAGGGTTTGAAGGGTCTCAAAGGCCCACAGTCTTGGGGGTTACACCCACTCTCTACCAAATCATTAAGTCTGCTCTTTATTAGGGAGCTCTGGTAGCATAGTGCCTAAGGCACTTGACTGCTAACCAGAAGGCTGGTGTTTCAAACCCACCAGCCACTCCTCGGAAGGAAGGTTGGGCAATCCTACTTCTATAGTGATACTGCCTCGGAAA